AGTAGCTAGGATTACAGGCACCTATCACCACGCCCAGATAATTTTTGTAGTTTTACTACAAATAAGGTTTCACTGTGTTGGCCAGGCTGGTCTCAAACTCCTGACCTAAGATGATCCACCCACCTTGGTCTCCCAAAGTGCTGGGATTACAGGTGTCAGCCACCGCACCTGGCCCTGAACATCTTTTAAGAACAAAGAAAGCCATATTCTAAATGCTGTACAGAACGTTTCACCTTTGAAAGCACAAAGTTAAACAGTGAAGCTAAGACATGTAAGAGAGGAAGTTTACAAAAAAATCCTAGATGTGAATGTGCGTGTGTGTGTGTGTGTGTGTGTGTGTGCGCGTGTGTGTGGGGAGAGAGAGAGAGAGAGAGAGAGAGAGAGAGAACGCTACGTAAACAAGTATTATTCAGTATGGAGATGAAAAAATGTTAAAATAGCTTAGTGTCAATGGAATGGACCAGAGCAGAGACAATGTCAAACTGCAGTAATCAGCATTTGAAAGTAGATTTGTTTGCCTCTATGCTATAATCACTGTAGTTCATAAACAACATCAGCTTGCCTTCTTTCATCATATACTAACTTAGGGAATCTGGAACAAATTCTGTAATTTTAAATGTTGAAAAGTAATTCACAAAATGAATTGCCTATGGATAACTAAAATCTAACTTCAAGAAATTGGTTGAAACATGTCCCCAACCCTGAGTAAAATGGGCATTTGTAGAGCTGTTACTTTGTGATTTCCATTGGCCACTAGGAGGTTTCCATAGTTTCAGAATTCATGGTGCTTAAACATCACTTCTAGCTCTGAAATTACTATACTCTAAAAATAATTTTAGTTTTACAATATTAATTACTTCAAGAGTTTTTCATAATTCGCAATCATTAGATATAACTTCTCAATGATCCAGTGGTAATTATAATTGTGTTAGAGATAATTTTTAAATTGCAAATTTCAACTACAGATTAATTTTAAATAATTTTGTATTTCTTTATTTGGAGCATTTGTTTCAACACATTTTTAAGCTTTATTTTTTCACTTATTCCCCTTATTCTCTAAAAGTGATTAATCTCAGAACACAAATTTATATTGCTTATTGCTACATACTTTTCCAAAACATACCTGAATTTAAATACAAACACAACCACTATGTTATTGAGATAATGCTGATACCTCCATCAATAAATTGATTTTACAGATGTGCCAAAATTTCTGAGAAAATGCTCCAATTATATTGCATGCTCCCTGACATAGAAACACTATCTATTTTTAAATTTTATCTACCACTACATAATTGGCATCCAATAAATACTGGTCAAATTAATAAAAGGATATATTTAAAAACCATTAATAAAGTATCTAAATTTTCCCCAGTTTTATTTCAAATAATTCTAACAGTAATTATTAGAATGGTTTTGCTCTTTTTCATCCTTATAAAATAGTGTTCAATACTTAGAAGATACTGGGTAGAATTAATAAAATTACTAGGAAACGCTTTGAGCTCCATAGCCTTATAAGAATCAAAAACTTGCAAGGAAATAGAGCTAATCAAGTTCAACTTCTTTCCTCATGAATCAATGCAGCCTCCAATTCAATATTTCCTGTAACAGGAAATGCACTACACTTTCAGGATACAGTTCCGGGAAACCTACTACTGTGGGATACTTTAAGTGTTCTCAAGGTTTTCTTCACAGTGTGAAGACTAAATGTTGTCTATTTGTCTCTCCAACCTTTGGTCAAAATTTTTTGTTTTCTCTTGAACATCAAGTATACCCCCATTTTCAAATGAAAATATTTTAAGAGTCTGAAGAAAGTACTGTGAGTTATTCAGTCTTTGCATTTTTTCAGATTAAATATTATGTTATTCGTACGGTATAGCTTCTATCCCTTTCTTCAAAATGGTAGCCCTCTTCAAATACAGATTTGGCTTTTCAATGGTATGAAATGTAGGTAAAAAAGCAATTTTCCATTGGAGCAAAGTGCAATAGTATTCAGTTGAATCACATGAAACCGCCAACATTCAATCATTTCAGACCTATAAAAAAATGACAATTTCGTATGGTTCAACATAATAGCATTATCTTTCTTGATGTAAACACTGAACATCCATCAATGGATCCTCAAATTGCACTAGGTTTTTAGCAGCTGTCTAACACCACAGCTTCATATTAGGTCTGAGGCCAAGTAAATCCCATAGCTCATCTTCCCATTAACTGTTGGGCTTGTGCAAAGAATTTTACAGAATTTTATAAAGCAAGAATTTACCTACCTGCCACTTTCTAGTTTTGTTATCCTTCTACAGGTTGTTTAATGTCTTAAAATTATAATGTATCCTTAATTATATAGTACTTCTTATGTGCCAGATACTGTTACAAGTCATTCCATTTAATCCTCATAACAGCTATATTAACCAGAATCATTATCATTATTCTCATGTTACAAATGGGGAAACAGAGTCACTGAAAGATCAAGTGCACACCCTCAACCACAACATTACACTGGCTCTCAAAATTATCTTTCTCAAATGATTTTGTGGGGATTAGTAACACACATTGTGTCTTTTTTTAATCTCTTTTCATTATCCTGCAAGCTCATTAGTTGCTTAATGTTCCAAAATGCTTGTGTCTTGCATCTGGCACTTCCTTTCTATTCTTCCAGACCATTCTCTTTCTCCAGTACTTTTCACTCTTTTGAAATTATGCTGAAAATGCCTCTTAATTTGTATTTCCCCATCTTCAGCTATCTATAGCTCCCACCTACTCTACATAATTACGGTCTTATCTCATTATTTTCTCCATTTTCATTTTGTTTTCAAACCCTTTTTCATCATTATTCCATCTTACCATTATTTTCAACTACTTCAGAAATAAAATATAAGCCTAATACTCTATTTCTGTTTTATTTTAATATTATGCCATTTCTCATTAATTGTAGGCTTCCTCTTTCTACTTGTCTTTCTTTCTGAGTCAAGCATAAGAAAATAATAATAAAGCCCTAAACATTGATTGGTAAAGTTTATTTCCCTTTATAAAATAAGAACGTGAAGGTTGGTATCAGACAAGAATTCTGCATAGCAAGATGGTCTAATAGCAAGGGCTGTGGAGTCAGACGGCCTGGGTAGGCATTCCCACTATCATTTACAACTGTAACGTTGGTCTAGTCATTTAGCCTTTCTACGTTTCATTTTTCTCATATAACAAACGGATTTTCTTGTATAATCCATTTTTCTCGTATAATCCATATAACAAAAGGATTATAATATAACCTACCTCTTAAAATTGCTGTGAAAACTAGTGAATATTTATAAAGGGCTTGGAACATTAGTTAGCTATCATTATTATAAAAGTTGTAAATTAAGCAAGAAATGTATATTTCATTGCTTAGGCAATAGGAAAGCATGAGAAATTTTTTAAGGAAGGGAGAGTTTGAGCTGAGGCTCCCCTTAAACTAGGCAATACCACTTAGTCAGTATCCACTTAAGAATTAACTCCCAGAACCCTGGTTTAAGTCCAAAATTTTTTGTTGTTGTCCTTCTTCAAACTCCCTTTATCCAATAAAGTTTCAAATTGCCTCATTATTAGGCATTTGCATTGGCCCAGATATCTGGCACTATAACTTAGGTATATTTATCCTGGTTACTTTACTGGTGCCTGAAGCAAAGTCATTTTCTGGGCACCCTAGTCAATGCTCAGTTCCATATGGCCTGGCAGCTATGGTCAGTCAGTAGATATCCTGTATTGTCTCGGGCCTCTGAGAAAGGGAACTCCGGCAAGAATGACAAGACAGCATATCTTTCAGGAAGATAATCAAAGGAATGATTAGGCAGATGAACATGGAAAAAAGGGGGCACACACTAAGGGAGGAGAATTGTTGCAGCAGGGAAGACAAAAGATAAAATGGGTCTGAATAAAAGTGACTTATCTGATAGTCATGGATTTTTCTTTTTCATGAAAGAATTCGTAGCACTAGATGACATTAAGTGATGAAAATGTGGGAGAGAAAGTCAGGATGACTATAAAAATTGCAGTTTTATATTTTGGCTGGTGGTTTAGCTATATTTGAAGCAAAGAAGAAGCAGGCATAGGGTAAAGATGAGTTTACATTTAATATATAGAGCTTGAGGTAAATATTGAACTAAATAGAAATGTGCAGAAGCAGTTAGATATTAGAAACATGTTCAGCAGACCACTGACCACCAGCCCATTATCAGTAGGGACAAGTTTTGAGTTATCTTCCCCAGGTTTCAAGAATAAATTAAAGGATTTATTCTTACTTTCTACTCAAAATTGAGACACAGTAGTAAAATGACTGACAAATACACTCTGTGGCAACAAATAGCACAAACCTCACTAGGGAAAGCTAGCCAGAAGCTGTAAACTCATTAAAACAATGCACTAACTTCCTGAGATAACCGGCAACTATAGAAAGATGAAAATGCCTTTTATTTAATATGTTCTCTACTTTCCAATGATCATCCACCCATCTGAGTGTGGAGACACTCCAGAAAACAAATTAAAGTAACAATTCAGTCTCTTCACTGTTGCTTCATTAAACAACATACATTTGTATTAAGAAGCTGAATTTCCGCTTTATTATTAAATAAGTTGCAAAAAGCAAGTAATATTTGGTATTAAGCAGCACAATCAAAATATTTTAAAGTGGCACATTATAAATGTCAGCAGTTGATCTCTAAAAATAAGACTAAATCCACAAACTTAAATTATGTAAAAAATCAGGTTAACTAGATGGCAACTAGATTGCAACACATTAAATTTATGTCTGAATAAAGGAAGTACAAGTTTCAGGCCTAGAATATTCCACAAGAAGGTCATAAGTCAGCTAAACATTCACTGTTACTAAAAACAAAACATGAAGGTAACTTTCCTAAGACAAAAACAACTCAATCTTTAGGTCGAAAAACAGGAAGTATCATCTTGATCAAATTATAACGTACTATATCTTCAAGCCCAGTAATTTTTTTAAAAAGTTTTAATCTTACCTCTCTCCATTCTTTATTTCCAACTCCTTGTACATATAAGACACAAACTACAAAAGATGAAAAAATACACACATATATAAATGTATTTTATGAAAATCATGTGAATATGTACAATTTATTTTTCAGCTGTCCAAAAGCTATATGAAAATTAAATACCTAATTCCCAGCCTTACCTTTGCAAAAAAAAAAATGGCTAGTAAATCATCAAATGACTAAAAATTAATTTAAATAAACAGAAAAACTATGCCAGATCTTTAGAATTTAATATGCCATGCACTTGACACATAAAATAATAAGTATTTGCTAAGGTCTTCATAGATAAATTTTAAAACCATAGTTTAAACAATTTGAAATATTTTATTATGTTGTGAAACACAAGTCAAGTTCTTCCTAAGGCATAATAGGAAGGAAAACCTGGGACAAGTCACGCTCTACATTTAATATTTACAGCTTCCACCCTGAATATTTGTAAATAGATAAGAAATTGTGTCAACCAAGAAAGGAATTCCCAAAAGGGAGATTAAGGGCTTTGGGTAAAGATTAAGGGATAAGAAGTACCCCATCCGCTTGTCAAATGAGCCCCAGGAATTTTTAATACCCACAATTGCAATGCCTTTTCCCAATAACTACTTCAAGAATTCTGACAACTGACAAAAACCTTTCCTCTGCAATTCAACCACATTTGTTTACACATTTGTAGAGACAGGGAACTGTTGCATATCCATTTCTAAATATTACAAGATTCAGAAGCACATTGATTTATATAGTTCATTCTGCTGTTTTCTAATTCAAACTACCCTTTTCACTTTACAAGTTATCGTCAATTTTCAATACCTCTAATTAGTAATCAAAACTTTGGTTCATATCAGATGTTACATATTTCACTTGGTTATAAATTTTACACATCACTTTTATTTTTCTTTTCTCTTTTTTTTTTTTTTTAAGAGACTGGGGGTGGGGGTCTCACCATGTAGCCCAGGCTGGTGTAGAAGTCCTGGGCTCAGGCAATCCTCCTGCTTGGGCCTCCCAAAGTGGTGGGATTACAGGCATGAACCACCTTGTCTGACCACCATTTTTATTTTAAGAAAAAGAAAGAAAAGTATTACTCTGTGACTAAACAACTTTAAATTATGGCACATTATGGTTTTCTTTCAAATGTCATGATTTCTCCCAAAAGGCCATAGCATGAGGTTTTAATTTCAAAGTGAACTGTCCCACACTGGAGTCATCTGTATTCTCATTTTATTCTCAAAGTGCTCAGCAAGTGCCTCTTTAGCCATAATACTGCCCGGGCTGATGAGTATGTAGGGCTTGGGAGCAGTCCCCTGATGCTTTCAAGGCTTTAAGACAAGCTTTTAAACAAGAACTATGAGTTTCATACAACTTTTGCAAAATCAAACGAGTAACAAATAAGTAGATTTTTCAAAAGGCAGGAAATACATACTTACTCGGATCAGATTTAGAAAATGTGTCTCTGTCAAGAAGATTTCTGTTGAATAAAACAGAAAATGTTAGCCGGATATAAACGCAAAATATTTATATTTATACAGACATATTAAAATGTATATATACATAATGTATACATATATGCATATACATATGTATATATAAACATACACATATATATGACAAATATAGGACAAATATATGTCCTAAGGGTCTGTTTGTATTTATTCAGACTGAACATCACTGGACCCCGAAAATAAGAGAAAGCTTTTATTTCCTCAGACTTGCATTGCAGTTAACCAATAGCATGACTCTTACATCCTAAGATTAAAATCTCTTTGAAAGAATTAGCCGTTTTACGTTTCCATTTAATCCTTCATTAAGAATATAAAGATGCTCAGAAATGCTTCCTGAATTGAATTGAGAGCTGTTATTAATGCAAAATTGTTTGCAGTTCAGAGCACATGATGGCATTAATCCATACAATTAGAATGCAATTGTGAAGCAGCATCTATTGACATTTGTGTTACATCAACCCTGATGAATTTTATGTTGCTATTACAGCTTAGGAATTTAAGCTGAATATATAGACCTTGCCTGAAGACTGTTTTCAGTAAAGATTAAAAAGGTACACAAGCAGCCGGGCGTGGTGGCTCACGCCTGTAATCCCAGCACTTTGGGAAGCCGAGGCGGGTGGATCACAAGGTCAAGAGATCAAGACCATCCTGGCCAACATGGTGAAACCCTCTCTCTACTAAAAATACAAAAAAATTAGCTGGGCATGGTGGCGCACGCCTATAGTCCCAGCTACTTGGGAGACTGAGGCAGGAGAATTGCTTGAACCTGGGAGGCGGAGGTTGCACCACTGCACTCCAGCCTGGCGCCTGGTGATGGAGTGAGACTCTCTCTCAAAAAAAAAAAAAAAAAAGGTACACAAGCTGGGTATGGTGACTCACATCTGTAATAATCCTAGCACTTTGGGAGGCCGAGGCAGGTGGATTGCCTGAGCTCAGGAGATGGAGACCAGCCTGGGCAACACAGTGAAACCCCGTCTTTACCGAAATACAATAAGTTAGCTGAGCATGGGATTACGCCTGTAATCCCAGCTACTTGGGAGGCTGACACAGGAGAATCACTTGATCCTGGGAGGTGGAGGATGCAGTAAGCCGAGATCGCACCATTGCACCCCAGCCTGGGCAACAAAGTGAGACTCCATCTCAAAAAAAAAAAAAAAAAAGTATACAAGGCCATTATTAGCACTTTTTTTAAAAAACAGATATTCCCAAAACAGAATAACAATGGAAAATTAGAAAGGAGGAAAACCTGGGTTTCTCAGATATCAGCATATTGCTACCTTCTATGGCAGTAATGCAGTCCTATACTTTATACTCATAGCAATAACCCTGAGTTCTCACTAAAAAGTCCAATTCAGTATGCTCTGATTCACAAGGCAGAAAATTATCGGAAAATTTTCCATATAAAATTGGTTTTTGTAAAATTATGATTTAAAGCTATATCTTTTTCTGAAAAACTTGATTATCTAGAATGACGACTTGAGGGTTCCAAAAGTTCAAATTGATGTTTAATATTCATCTTCCACTAATGGGTAATAATTTGGAATAGCTGCATTACATTTCTACTTGTAATACTCATAATAAATAAAAATCTCATGTTCAAGCTGTCTTATTTTCCACAAAGACTACTATTCATGTGCATTGATTTGTACTGGCCTTGGTATTTGAAAAGTCCCTTTTTCATATGAATCTCATATCCTTTCTTATTTTAGGTTCTCAAAAGTGATTGCCTCTATTGAATCACTACACGCTGAAAAAATAAATACATATTCGACAAAACAGGGCAGCACAATGAAATTAGATCATGTCTTGAAATATTCCTAGAAAGAAGAGAAACATCAGACACATTCATATTTGGAATTAAATCGAATTCGAAGACCACTAGTCAGTAATCAAATTAAATTAATCCTTTCTGTCCCCTGAGCAGACACCATGACTCCAGCAATGGTTAGCAAACAGTAAATTAAAACATTTCCATTTGAGAAATTACCGTGATATTACAGTTATTATACAAAGGGAGTTCTCCACTTAAGTGGGAACTCTCCAAATCCTTCCTATGACTCCAGGTTTTGCTCATTAGGTATCCTAGAAAAATGTTATGCTGCTTCTTTCGGAATTCACAAAAAAAAAAAAGGAGATGATAATGCACAATATTGTGATATAGCTGGGACTCAAAACTTATGCTATATATGTATTTAAAAGAAAATAACATTTCAATGCCTTGGTAATGTAAAAAAGAACTACAAGTTTTAACCACAAATATAAAAATAAAGGATTTCTATAAACAACAGGGCAGAGAGTAGTAGTTTTTTGTTGTTGCTGTTTTTGAGATGGAGTTTCGCTCTTGTTGCCCAGGCTTGAGTGCAATGGTGAGATCTTGGCTCACCACAACCTCTGCCTTTTGGGTTCAAGCAATCCTCCTACCACAGCCTCCTGAGTAACTGGGATTACAGGCATGTCCCACCATGCCTGGCTAATTATGTATTTTTTGTAGAGATCGAGTTTCTCCATGTTGGTGAGGCTCGTCTCAAACTTCTGACCTCAGGTGATCCACCTGCCTCCGCGTCCCAAAGTGCTGGATTACAGGCATAAGCCACTATGCCCAGCCGAGATTAGTATTCTTAATGATAAACTTTACTTGTCACATTGTTTCATTCAGCCATTGTGATCCATAACACATAATGGTAGGATCAAAAATAAAACAAGCCAACAAAAAGCCCTTTGTATAATGAAAACTCTATAAATTCTTCATAATAGTCTGAAATTTGCAATTTAACTTTCCAATTATATTTGGCAATAGTTTTACCTGTACTTCGGTCATCTGAATATAATAGAATAGACTATCTCTGACAGATTGAATTCCCAAAAGACTACTTTACTCAAGCACATATGATTGCAAAGTTGGAAAAGGCAAATATTCTTAGCGATACACGCACTGCAAAAGGCCAGCGATTGTTAAAATGCATCATTCAGTTTGGATTTATTTTAGGAATAAGAATTTTATCTTCCCAAGATCCTATTAGAAACAAAGCCCATTCACATTAAGTAAAATAAGATAGGTATTATTGCAAAGGCCATTTCATAAATTCCAAAACTAAGCAGGGGCTCAGAGAAAGTGAGTGAGTGAGTCAGTGTACACAGCCCAGTACAGAATAATCTAATGGTGCCAACCTTTCTGAATCTGATTCCTCTGTTCTTTACAAAATACCTCAGCTTCCAGAGAAGTCCACAAGACTTCTTATTTTCTATGAGTATTGAAAATGTCAAAGGCTTCCAATTTTACCGACCACCAGAATAGAAAGGAAAATAAATTCCTGTTCACAGACTAGTATAAAAAGAGATGCTGTTTATAGAACGAGGAGAAAAAACCAGAATGAGAGGTCAAACCCACTGTACTTTCATAGAAAAAAAAAGTTTGTTTAATACATGATGCACTTTTAAAAATAAACACACACACACACATCCCTACATGACCAGATTTTATACGGGAAGGCTACACTTCCCTCCATGGACTTGTCGTCTGCTTGAGCTAGGATGCCTGTAACTTTGTTCCTAACATTTTATAACGTGATGTTGAACACCAGCACTAGGTGAAAAATCCTGAATGTGTCTTTCTATTCTTCAAATCTAGATGCAGCTAATATGAAAGAACAAATTCTACAAAAGAAATTTTGGAAAAATACAGTGTACGAGTTAGAAAAATTACCTGATAAAATACCTACTCAAAAGTATAACCTATAAACTGCCTGACTTGCTCTAGTATCCACTCATCCTCAAATGTCATTAAAATTCCTGGACTATGAGCTTAAAGGCGGATAACTAAAACAGCATAACTAAAGCCGAGGCCCAGCTAATTTAAATCTAACCTGTAGGAAGAAATATTGTCAGAGGTGTTGGAACCAGAGCAACTCCATCTTGAATAATGGCAGGGTAAAATAAGGCTGAGACCTACTAGGCTGCATTTCCAGGAGGTTAAGGCATCCTTAGTCACAGTATAAGGAGGTAGGCACAAGAAACAGGTCATAAAGACCTTCTGATAAAACAGGTTGCAGTAAAGATGCTGGTCAAAACCCGGAAAAACCAAGACGGTGATGAGAGTGTCCTTTGTCTTCCTCACTGCTACACTCCCACCAGGGCCATGACATTTTACAAATGCCATGGCAATGTCAGGATGTACCTTACATGTTCTAAATAAGGGTAGGCATGAATAATCCACACCTTGTGGATACAATCAAGAAATAACCATAAAAATGGGCAACCAGCACCCCTTGGCACTCCTCTGCCTATGGAGCAGCCATTCTTTCATTCCTTTACTTTCTTAATAAACTTGCTTTCACTTTATTAACTCACCTCAAATTCTTCCTTGGGCTAGATCCAAAAACCTTTTCTTGAGGTCTGGATAGGGACACCTTTCTGGTAACATCACTGGGTTACTGGAGAGGTATATTTTGCATGAAGTGTAACATTAACAAGTAGATAAGCAGGAATTTAACACCTTTCCAAAACCATCCAAGAGAAGGAATTCCCAGATTCCTCTGCCTTCCTAGTCAATTCTCATGCATATTCATCCTTGAGAACAGAGACTGAAGCCAGGCTACCGTCCCCTAAAGACAACCGTCAGTTAGCTCATCTGATAACCCAGCCTGCCCTGATTTTATGCTCCACAAGCCACCTTCCAATTTTAAAATAATTTCCCATACAGCAGTTACTGAGTAGTCAATATGAATATCACGGTTGTCTTTACTTTTGTAGCTTTTATTGTCAATTGGCATTCCGGTACCCGAACAGAACAGCCAGCTAGCCTTTTAAAACTGTATCTCAGGCTGGTCTTTCTCAACCTGGAAAATAGCAATTCTCTTTAAACTTCAAAGCAAATCTGCAAGTATTTTTCAAGCAACAAATCTATGACCAAAACCTAACTAAGCACTATCAAAAATACAATCAGTATTTAAAGGCTTATTTCAAGAAG